AAGAAGAACAACACAACGAAGTAATTATATTAGTATCAATCACTGAGGCTCAGGAAAATTTTGGAAACATGGCTAGCCAATGATTGTCTAGGCTAGGTTTAACTTTTTTCACAGTTTCGCATACTAATAGAGCAGAAGGAAGTTTATTCCAAACAGGCACAACCCGGTTTGCGAAGAATCTGGCTCTTAACTCCAGCCTAGATCTATGCCGCTTCAAATTCATCCAACGGCCCTGCCAGTTGTCTGACGTAGCTGCTTCAAACAGATCGGTGGGTTGAGATCATTGAGAGCTTTTATGAGTTTGAACGTCGCTGTTAATCCATCCCTAAATCTGCGTCCTCTCATTGAGAATAAACTCAAGTTAGCTAACAGATCTGTTTAACGTAACCGGCGCTGTCTTTCTTCTTCTATTTGTGTGACCAGTCTTGGCGCATTCTTAATACAAATATCATCTTGTCGCAGGTAGGTTGCCTATGCCTGTACACGATATTCGAGATGGGGTCTGACCACAGCTCTGAATGAGGGAAGAAAGCCCTCTGGTTTGGTACAACTCAGAACTCTCCTGAGACGGAATAACTCCTGTCGCGCTAAATTAGCCGCATGTCTGCACTGCGCCGAGGGCTTAAATTCACTCGTCAACATGACAAAAAATGTGCCTCGATGACTTGCTGCAATGCTAGGGACCCATTAGATGTATGGATAGTAAACTCTTTATCATGCGGCGTTAGGATTTGACATAAGCTGATGTTGAATGGTGACTCCCACATATGTGACCAATTAAGAACAGTAGCAAAATCTCTAGATAAATAGTCCCTGTCTCAACCTGCTGACAAGCGCCAAGTCGTCAGCAAACATATATGAAGGGGCTTTAAATAGAGGGACCGAGTAGTGTATAGACATAAGAAACATCAACGGACCGAGCATTGATCACTGAGAAAATCCACTGTGAGCAGTACCTGGTATGTTATGTGGAACGAATAATGGAAGATAACGGATAAAATGCAGGTTGTGTATATTTCTCATATCGAAACGACAGCATCGAACTGTTAGTTAAAGCTTAGTAAAAAAGCTATAACAGCTTCCGATCATTTTCTAAGGATTTTGAGACCAGCATCGCCATGAATGTGCATTAGTCTCTCCCTAGGTTTGTGCCGTTTGTCTGTGGAAGACTCACATGAAGAAAATAATGCAATTAGACGCGCAACTACTTAGAAGGATGGCAATTACAAGGAGAGCAATGAAGTTGTGAACATGGGTACACGTGGGTATATATGCTGTGATTAATATTAATAAGAGGATTATACAGATAGAAATGGTTTCTGCTTTTCGTCGTATATTGGAATATTCATGCGAGATTTTCACTTCACAAATTAAGAAAGGGTGAATATATAATATTTTAGCAGGATACACTGAATTTTATTATTCTCAACAGCTGTTTACATATATACCGTGAAAATATACCGCATCATCTAAAATGGAAGCAGTGTATAAGGTCATTCACTTCAATCGGGCATTGCTCTGCAAATTAAATATTTAAAGGAATCAATAAGAAGTTGGCACGTAGATAAGTCCAGGATATGCTGCGCGTTGGAGCTAGCCCGCAGCTTAGGACCGTTTACAAACATGTTTCGTAGAATTGGCTCTGGAATACTAGTGAACAGACACTTCGCAATTCGGTCAAGATACTTGTTGTAATAAGAAGAGTGGAGGGTGAAAACCAGGATGCGGTACCTTGAGGGTGTGGCTTGTCCATGTGCTATAACACCTATTTGGCCGCATAATAACATTTATCTACTGCCTGGCGGCTGCGGTGTCCAAATATTCCACCATTTTGTTGCCTCTAAAACGACCGTGTAATTAACCCATGAAAAGTGATCACTCGGCCAAACTGGTGTTATCGCACTAAGTTAAGAAATTACTCTGTAGCTCCTAAATAGACAAGCCACAATCTCACCTTACGGCCACTTTTCTTTCTCTTCTAATATAATTGTGTTAAGAAGCATGTCAGACGTACTGAGAGAAGTCTTTCCACTAAGATTTTAGAGCAAATTTCATCAAACGTGTGCGCTAGCAGACATAAACGGCTGGCCATTTTCATTGCGCTATATATCCTGGCACTACGTTCCCGCTTCCTCCTGATTCGTTTAAAGTAATTACATTTCAGGAATAGACCCGATTGCTTCAATTTGCCGAGGCTTCAGATTTTTGGCGGCCAAATCACAGTTTATGCAAGCAAGCTGTATTTACGACTAGTCTCGTCTTGGTAACGTTGTTGATCGTTTTCCCTTGAACCAAATGACCTTGTAAATTGCGTCCCTTTTTCACACAACGCAGCGTATCCTATTAAACAATTTTTTATTCTTGCTGTTGTGACATCCAAAATCCTCACTACTACTCAGCAGTATCCAAATAATAATTGCAGATGGACAGATGCTTGCATATATTTAACACGTAGCACATCGTCTCACGCTAACGGAAGGGCACAAAATATATGCAAATACAATATGCAGAATGAGATAGCTAAACACGGTTAAACTCTCATCATTGAAGTAGAACCACACATGTCTAACATGGGGTGTAATTTCTAATCATGTCTGGCAGTTGATCCAGTCAGAAGTGTCTTGATCCTTCCAATCCAAGCTCAGTATCATAGATAGCTGAACACGGTCACTCCCTACATGCTTAGGGCCTATGCCATTTGTTTGCAAATTCTATTCTTTTGGTTGGCATTTTGCAGCCAATCCACCGGTTTGGAAGCAGCATATTACAGAAATCCTCCCAGGTGGTCAATTAATCCGTCTCAATGAACTGCCACCATTTCCCTAAGGGTGCTCCTCAGATTTGGTGTCGGTAGTCCTGCATGGTGCATTAATTCCGCTTCCAGCAGGAATCGTTCGAAAGTTATCGCATCCGAGTAACGTAATATTCGATTCATTTCCTCCGTAAGTTCCCTCTATTAAGCATTATAACAGCGTTACATACTTACCGTTTAGGAAGAACACGTTTTCTAACTACGTTCTTTAGATTTAGTATCCACATATTATGTTAAATATCACGCCAACATTTCTAAATAATCTTATTAATCAGTCAGCTACCTGCCAATTCCGGATGTCTGCTACCTTATTTTTTCCTATTAGAAATGTTACTTCTTGAAAGCGTTGTAGCTCTCTCGTTGTGGAACAATCATTATTGCGCCAAGTATTGTAGTTTGAATTTATCGGCTAATCGGTACGAGGGTTTTGCTAACGGAATTTTATCACCCACATTATTCATGTTAGCATCGATGCGACAGGCTTCCTTGGATCTATATAACCTACGTCCATTTGCTCTTCTAAACAAATCGGTAAAAATGCACTACGAAGATGCCTGGCGTAGATATTGCTGTGATATCTGGAAATCTGCAACATCATCACGTCTGAGCAGCACGTTTTCCAATGACAGCGATCATGTACGACGACTCTACTAATCGCACACACTAGTTGAACCGAGTCAACTAAAGCTGCAGAAGAACTTGTTGTGATCTACCGTTATGTATCAAAAGCTTTCGATCGTTTAAACCATCAGATACTACTCTCCATGCTCCAGCATTAGAGATCGCTGATTCACTTTTAAGCTGGATTGCCAACTTGCTACTTTAACGGAAATTTGCGCACAAAGTTCGGAGCTCTATAGCGGACCTCATACAAGTAGAGTGTGGTGTGCTACATTGCCTTATTATAGGTCCATGTTTTTTTGGTGTTTATTAATGACCTTGCACAGGCAATCGACAGCAAACCGTGCAGTTCCAAAGCTCGGCTTATCTCTAGTGTGCTGCAACTGTTGTGCTTTCCATGTAGTAAAATTAGAACACACAACAAAACTCACCTTTTCGTAATCCTCACAAGTGTCTATCGCATTCATAAGTTAAATAAACCAACCCGCGCTGTCTGCGTAGTATAAGCCTGTTTGGGTTTGTACGCATGATGCACACTGGTATATTGTATGCACTACACAACGCGCAGTTTCATATTGCACAGGCTAACCATAAGACTCCATGAGACATAAACAAACGGGGAACGGTTAATTGCCCATATCGAACATGTTTGTGTCTGTGCACTCTGAAGAATATTGCGCAAAAGTTTCTCCACCTAAGATGCTATTATTTACACCACAACCGTCAATATTATATTTCTGGCTTACCTACATGTTACCACAGTCATCTGCTGATTCATGTGACCTGAAGAAGCTTTGTGTTGTTAGGCTAACCTTTGATTACCGAATATAACGACAGGTTGGAAATTAAACGATGCGAACCCGAGAACACTGCACTATAAAACCGGGTTTGAACTTATTTGCCCTCAACGGGTGGAGACAGCATGCTCGGGAGCCAAGTGCGATTGGGATGTCCTCCGAAACTTCCGTGGTACACGGAAACGCGGCGCGAACGCTTTCGTCCTAAAGAGGTTATGATACTTCACTCCTCCATCAGTTATTAACTTTGACTTGACGATAAAATGGACGGTAGTTAGAAGGCCATTACACCTCCAAAGCAACGCTTGAACAGTCGTTGGAACTTTATCGTTGGACTTTGCAATCACCAACGTGTACTTAGACTGAAACATGCAATTTGAATTAGACCAACGGTTCACAGTATAGAAATACTCGGTCAATGCTAGTGCTGCGAATGCACGTCACTAACTATTCACAAGAAAGGTACCTCGAAACGCAACACTAAGCCGGTGGCCGAATAATCTGCACACCAGGTTTGCAACCATAATGTCCCCGGTTCGAATCCGCGTAGGTGTAGGCGTCCTCGCGGTTAAGTCAGCTCGCTTTCGACTGGTGGTGGTCGTGCGGGAGCAAAGAGCAGTTACGGCGTAAAGCAGTCACATTATTATTGTTAGTAACAGTACTATAATTATTAAGTTCAGCCGTTTAAATCCATACGAAAGAACGGGGCAAATTGTTCCTTAGAAACTAAAACGTGAACTAAGTATTTAATTGTTCTTTTTGTGTTGCAGATATAAAGGCAGATCTAACCTGCTACGAAATCCACAACGGCACAACCGAGGGAACAATTCACAACCCAATGTACCCGGACAGTGATCATGGTTCCAAATTCTGCAATTATCAGATTACGGTTCCCTCCAACAATCAAGTTGCTCTGAGCTTCCCTGAGCTTAAAGTAAGTATAGTTGGCTGATTTGTCCATGACGAAAATGTATGACACTCCCATCATAATACCCAGCGTAAGCTCCCTAAAATTTGTTCAGCGTAGCTAGTGAGATGGTTTATTTTGTTGCGGCCGGTGGTGAAGTGCGAATGCTTAATTTTAACAGGATAACTCACACATTTAATACGAAATAAGTGATGCGATTCTTATGCAAAGTGAAGTTGTCATTCATTGGTTTCTCTTCTAGTTTGCGCATTCCGACTCGGCAATTTTTTTGTTCGGCGGCCCCGATTGTATGTCCCGACGCATCGGATACGTGTGGCACCCGGATATTAATCCACTCATTTCCCCTGGAAACAGTATCACAGCATTGCTGACTGTTCAAAATGGATCTGAGGTTTGGCGATTTAAAGCAAATTATTCTACAGGTAAGTTGTACCTAACCCACATTGTATATTCTGGTAATAGGCAGAAAACATTGCCTTGTAATTACGGACTGTTTAGGTCACTGATAAAAGAATCCATTAAACTCCTTGAAGTTTCGCAGAATTGCTAACAAGTTTATTCGATATAATTAACAACATTATGGTTTATTTAAAATTAATTTGTTAATATCGATTCCTTAAAGTGGCGTGAATGCTTAGCACTTTTGTATAAGCAGGGCATTTGAACAATGAGCAATCCTTTCAGCCTTGCAAAAGCATTTGCTTGACAAGTGCAGCAGCATGATGCAAGTAGGTTTACAATGTCAAACGATGTGTGTTTTGTCTGTTTAAGTGTTTGTCTAGCATATGCGCTGCTTGATAATAGCTGTGTACCTGGGAATTGGATGCGAACGACGAGGCAACATGGGGACGGTAAGATTGCATGTACTCGGTGAGGAAAACAATAACGAGAATACTAACATTTGTACAGCCTTTTAGGCTAATGTGAAATGTTAATCCGGCTTGATAGGATAACTGCTATATTCTAAACTAGCGCAGTCTAGGCGAAGAAGTGATTGGGGCCAGGACCAAGTCCCAATTTTTCTTGAAATCTCCCAAGTTGTGGGAGGAGACAATAAAGTTTGGGCGAAAGTTCCAGTGTTTGAAAACCCGAAGAGGAAAATAGTTCCCCCGGCATTCCAGGCGGCTACACTGTGTACATAATTTCAGACGGTTACTTTTGAGATTGGTGTTATGGCTGCGTTTCAGCAAATGACAGCATATGCGATTAGGCTCACACAATATTCGGCAGACTAATATGAGATCGCCGCGCAGCCTTCGGTAGCGGCCACTGAAAACTCCCAGTGAATTCAGCCTTCGCTGGTAGGACAGATTTCGTAGGCCCTTGACGTTCTTTGTGGCCCTGCGTAGTGGTTTCTCAGGCACTTCTAAATCGCGCTTCAACCAAGGTTGCCAAGCTCGCATGACGTATTCAACGTGAGGGCGCGCATGAGCATTGTGCATCAAGAGTAAGGTGGATGGGTCGCATCTTGCGAATGCTGTTCGCAACAAGCGGACGTGTTGGTTGGCTCTTTTGGCAGCTGCCTCTAGCTGCTTTGAACAGTTAAGGTCACTTTGCATGAGTATACGAAGGTGGTGTTCTTGGGAAGCTTTTTATAATGCATTTGACCCAAGTCTATATACGTAGTCATACCTACGATGAAATGGAACAGGGTGACATTTTTACACTTTTAACACTATTGCATTCAGAACTAACCAGTTAAAAGTCGTGTTGAGGCCGAGCTGGACACACCGTAGTCATTCGAATCTCTGCTCGCTCGCCATAACTCCATATCATCCACGGAGAAAAGGAAACCGGAAGTAATTTTCATTGCCATGTCGGAGACAAACTGAAGAAACTAAGAGCATTTTATCACAAAACCAACATTGTCGCTACTCTATCATATATACAGTGAGCCATAATAAAATGTGGGAACTGATTTTCAGCATATGAATGAAAACACTGAGTAAGAGATATTGTGATTTTCCACATGCATTAGAACAATGCGCGCAATCACAGCCGATGCCAATGCCACGGACTTGTTAGAATAAAAAAAGAGCTCGTTTCATGATTAAACGAATTTAATTTACCTATGCATCAACATAGGTGGGAAATGGTATAGAGTCTCCTCGTTCGATAACTACGCTGAACCATCTGCGAGGGTTTTGGCACGTGGAGCAATCGAGTATGTGTAGGCGTTTGAACTGATAGGTAGCTCGGGAACATATGCAAACATTTATGTGTAAGGTGCTCTGCGGCTCTCGCTGATAGCCTTCTCTCAGTACGGCCTCTGCATTTACTATCGCAAATACAGTGAAAGAGGTACACAGGTTAAAGTGCGCATTCCGAATACGAAAGAGCAAGGTGGAAGATTCCAGGTGTCCCACAAATATGTGAACAACGAGCATACATCGAGGGAGATTGTGTTATCCGCCAACGTTTTAATTCCATGTTCTATCAACACAATGAGGCTGCGTTTTACATTTATCTGGTGCACATCTCTAATATTTCAGTTTCCGGAAGGAGTAAGTCATCTTGTTGATAGCTTTACGAATAATACTGAATACAAATTATCCAAAGTAAATGGTTTTCTTATTATGCCACATTTCTATCAGCAAATTTGTTAAGCAGTGTCAGCATGCCTTCCTGAGTATGGCCGAAGGGTTGTTATTTGCAACTATATTAATATATGCGCGATTGCTAAACGCGTCTGATAGAAATGCGTGAACATTTCGATGAAGAAGTTTGCGCCACGTAGTTTACGAGCCTGTGACAAATTAATTCTTCAATCCAAAGGCATAGTTTATCTCAAAATTGACATATATAACTGATTGCATGTCACCCAACCTGCTGAACACGTTGGAAACAGCGTCTATACTAGAAAACATGCCAAACTCTTATTCTTACACGCGTTTTGCAGCGTAATATTGATGGACATATGTTATGGGACGCAGCAGGTGTAGTTTCCATATTTTGAACAGGAACCGTTTAAATATATAACTAACTGACGCATACTGTAACATACAGAAACCAAGATCAACCGTTTATTTCTGTCAAACATCCTGCATCAGACCATCGCTTTGCCAATGGAATCATAGACAACAGGGACCTGCCTATACGAAGTAATTTCAGTTTATCTTTGTCAAAAGTGGAAACGTAAAGCTGATTAGGTTCTGTTCACCGAGCAGACAAAAACCACTTTACGTTTTGGATGATTTAGTTCCGGGCGATGTTGGGAATTGAGCTGCTATCTTTCAAATGTGGATTACGACTAACTGTGTCGGGAAAAGCTAGGTGACTCATACACTACAGAATCTCAGTCATGACTAATACGGTTGCCAGTCCATGACCATAAAATGCCACCCAAACACCGAAGCTTGCAGTAAATGTTAGATGATATCTTGCATGTTAGATTGCAGTTAAGTTGGTTGTGACTGCGATGCAATTATTGCATTATAGCCAAATGCATTCACAATTGAATTAGTAGAACATTATTCGTCTTTCCACAGATGCAACGACTCTGGAAACGGCTCAAGGTTAGTTAACCCAGGTTTACATTGCACTGTGCAGCATGGTTTACAAAGGAACGTTAACTAACTACATGTTCATAGGTATTGACGAGTGTCGAGGTACCACAATCTGCATGCGGTTCCCTACCGCCACACGACCGTACGCATTCCCTCACTCTTGCAACTTACAACACTATATTGCATGTGCTCAATCTCTGTCGACTTGTGCGTGTTATATGACAAGAGTCGGAGAGCCCCTACTTTTTTCACCAGTACTTCATCAACAAACACATCAGATAAGTCGATGTCTTCTATGATGGTCTCGGGGTGTGTATGTGTAGTAATCCGGCGTGCAATTTACACCTCATATCTTATACGCTTTAGCTATACCCAATGTGATTTTTCAAACCGTGGAATTATTGTAGCCGTTCGAAATGTATCGCAGCATGAGCACACTCGTGTACTTTGTTGATACTTGGCTACGTCATGCGTAAAACGAACCTGAGCGCAAGTTCCGTCTCTTCAACCTAATCATCCAAAGCGGCCGATTGCCTTATATCATGCTATCCCGTCATCCTAGTTAGACTGTGCTTTTTGATAGATCTTGGTTCGTTTAGTTAAAAAAATTAGCCTAATATTATTTCCTCGGATTAGCTTAGTAACTACCATTTGTCGACTCAGTGGACGTGTTTGATCTCATTGGTTTCTTCCTCAACTTTGTAGTACGCAAATTTAGGTAATCTTCGCACCACCGATGCGACTGCAAGACTGTCAAAATAACGATTGCAATTTCCTAGCTTCTTCTAAGAATATATGTTGGAATTAAAAGGTTACAATTAACACTTGCCTCCGTAATTTCGGTGGAATATTGTGCCACATACTAACCTTTAGTCGTACGATGGCGCATTGATAAAACCGCCTAACATTATATTTATTGTTGCAGGTCACTGCGGAGGAGAGTTGCGTGGGCCTAATGGAAATTTCTCGTTCCGAACGAATGCATCAAGACTAGTTGTCTGCGTTTGGCGAATCACGGTAACTCCAGGAAGAAAAGTGAAGCTCATTTTCAACTCTCTAATTGTGAGTTGCTTGCGTTTTAAATCTGGCATTTAAACTGTAAAATCTGTATTCGGTTACCGGTGGGAACATATCAGACCTACGAGCTCATGAACTCACGCGGAACTGCATTTGCTTTTCATCCATCAAACAGACTGCAGCCTAGCTACGACATTTATGTGTCCGCTAACACAGACCACATCTCAATGAGTTATATTCCCATGAGTCCATTTAATTGTTCAGTAATGCATGATGAGAAAAAATCAACTGTGCAATACACAGAAGATGACCAATACGTAATCAAATGTAAATCAGAGCATTCCAGCGTGGAAATACAAATATCAGCTGTCTAGACATTGCACACATTTGTGCAGCATTTTTCATTTATTTGAAAATCTAGTGTTCCCAAAAGTCGCGATATTTGGTGATTCACCACATAGGTAGAAACCGGTACAATGAGAGTGTACATACTTTCTCTGAGCCAAATGAATTGTTTCCTTAACTGCGTCACGCCGTGGTCTTCGCTTTGTTTGAAGGGGCTAGGGACAGCACTGAGTTATAAGGGTGATTGCTCTCAGTTACTCTGTGGTGTGTTAGAATTCGGTCTCCAGGAGGCCGTAAGCATTTTGTGATGAACCCAGCAAGTTAAAATAGGCGTAGTTTGTAAATGAGAATGGATAGTCCACATTTGTACTTGGTAGCTAGTCTTTGGTGCTGCATACAGACACGGGTTCATTATCTTAATCGTAGCCGTCTAACATTATCTGCATATTCAAAGACGTAGACGAATATACTACTTATGCATAACGGTCATCAGGCGTTGCTAAAATTTGTCGGAAGTTCTCCTCAAAGGCCTCGATCTATAGGTCGGCTGCTTTCGAACATCGGAGCTAATTGCCAAGACATTATTGTGCGATAATGCCAAGTCACTTGCACTGCATATTGGTTTCATGACATGTTGCTCAGTAGCTATGTATTGATGAAGCGGCGGCGCATGGTCAGCAGTTGGCACTTTGCGAAGTTTGTTCGGAGCTTGTGCGTTCATTTTTAACCATTTTAGCATAATTCAATTGGTCATACGTTAGGACTGAACAGTCGCTACTGCCAAGTAGAATGTCGTATGTGACTGAGTCAATCAATAACTGCGCATCAGTCCAAATTAAGTTCAACAGTGGTATATTGTTTGAACCGCGGTGTTTGGTTATTAGATGCATATGAGTATACAAAATTGCCGTAGGTATGAACTCAACCAGTTTTGATTTGACTGATAATCCACAAGGAGATGGCAAGGCTACTGATGATACGTTGAAGTTGCAAATTTATAATACGGTAGGCGTAATTTTTTGAAGCGGCATAGTAGACAGCGTGTAGCAGAAAATCATCGCTGCATGCGAAAAAGTGCAGGCGACTGTAGACTCGTATTATTCTGAGATAAGCTATCTCGACCTACCAGCTGCAATCTGCAAAATGCTGCGTCGGAAAGATAAAGGAATTGCTTAATATGGGCCAGGAATTCAGGTACGCTCGGTAGTAGACAGCAAGTCCCCACCGCGAGATTGCCGATCATTCCAAATGACTGAGTTTAATTCCTGGACCTAATTAGTCTTTTGAAAGTTACGTTACATGCCTTTCCATGACTACGCAAGAAGTTGATTCAAGTCAGTGGCGCAGTTATGGAAGCTTAAAGTAGAGCTTTGGAGCGTTGGTGTAACAGCATTGCATTTGTTAACGTATTACGAACTGGGTTTACTTCGAGCGACACAATTTGGGCACCGTTGTATGCCCGGTTGGCTGATCTGAGGTAGGATAAGCAAATCTGCATCCTCAGAATTTAATGTCTTTACCGCTTGAATGAATGATATTAAGCGTACTTTGGTAGCCCATTTCTGTTTTTGTCGGCCGGATGCCGAGTGGTCTGCACGTTTGCTGTGCAATCATAAGGTCTCCAGTTCGAATCCGCTTAGGAGTAGGCGTCCTCGCGGTATACACAGCCCGCGCGCGACTGGTGGTAGTCGCGCGGCAGCGAAGCGCCGTTACGGTGTACAGCTGACACATTATTTTTATTGTTATTATTATTCGTTCCAAGTGTTGATCTCTAATGATACCATTACGAACATAGCCGAAATAAATCCTAGCATTTTGGTTCGCCACCGGTGTAGTTTTTGTTGGCAAATAGATGGTTGACGTAGGAGACCAGACCGTTTTGCATGTCACAGAACTTTTTTATGTACTTCAATACTTAACTGACGTGTTTCGAGTTTCTCATTGTCGGCACGCTTCAAATCCGGCACACCATGTACCAGTTTCACTGACTTCCTCTTATTTTGGCGTGGTGCACTCGGGTCAGACTTCAGCTTCCGCATTTCTGCCCATGTCTTGCCTGTAAAAATACAAGGACTAACAGACAATTTCACTAGGTTGTGGCTTGTTAAGGGAACATCATCCAGGTCCAGAGCTAAGCTAATGTTTTCTAGCCACGGCCAATATTCCGCTACTTGCGTAGATGATGAATTTCAAAAGGTGTGTCAGAGTTGGAGGACGAATAGTCCGTGTTGTCAGCTAATCTTAACCCAATGGTTTTGCTCCTCGGATTATCTGCTATTTAAAATTTGCTAAAGGGTTCTGGGACGTTTGGACAAATCAGTTGTATCGCCTTTCGGTTGCATAGTAACGTTTTTCTGTAGATATTTGTTGTGCAGCATGCATCGTGAAAACAGGTGAATTCGTACGCAAGACTGTTTATGTGCAACAGTGTTAGTCGTCCCATCTCTACTGGTCAATTACTTTTGCCCATCGAAGAACGGAAATATCACTCCTATTGCTGTATTATTCTTATTGCCATGCAAAATTTCTCAAGATGTTGGAGACCGTGCAACTTTCCTGCTGGGATTGCTGCATTTTCCTCTTCCGCTAAATTATGTGGCGTATTTGCCAGTGGATTTATATCTTTTAACAATTTTATAATTGGGGATGCGTAAAACACTGCACTTTAATTCGAGTCCAGCGGTTGCATTCTCCCTACCACGATATGTTTCTTTTGTTTGGCTGGCAAAGCAACCATTATTTCGCATCTCGTTACAAGGGTTTGAGCAATCCTAAACATAAGACTATCTGAACGTGCATCACAGAACTACCATAGCGTTCTCATACGCTGCCTATCCATTTAAGTTACGGTTGTTTCATAATAGGAATTGACTGATTACGACCATGTCATCCTAGGATTCTCGGTTTTAAACTACAGCTTGTTGTTCACGGGTTTTCTAGGCAACAAACCTCTCACGCACACGGGCCAATGCTTCGTATGCACTCCGGTTACATCGATTGTTAACAAAGCTAATATTTATCCCAATCAGCCGGGGATACCGCTGTGCCAGCGGGCTTGTTAGTGGAACGTCACTTGTAGCACCGGCGGATCAAATCACAAGGACGTATGCAGAAACACGGATGAATTATTGCAGTGTTAGATGTCGGGCGGCAAAGTAACCAGCAGATACGCTGGATGGTGTTGCACAATCGGATACTATATATTGTCTAGTAACCTGGAAAGAACTCACTGACGGAACTTACTGAAGGAACGCAAAAAGCAAGATTGCGCCTGTAGGTCTAAACGACTGAATTGCAGAAGACATTGTTTGTGTGTTGCTTGTCGTTGAACCTGAAGCGAAACCATTCATCCCGTTGAATAGAGTTCGGCAATCCGAATCGACTAAGCACAATTCCGAAGACGTGAGACCAAATGAGGTGAAAAATCTTAGTTAACATTTAACACAAAATTATACGGCCGGCAAGCGAGCGCTTCACCCCTAAATTGAACAAATAAAGTAAGTCACAATCTTGGAACACCTTTTTAGAAGTTGCATCTATGTTGCCAGTAATGGAACCTATTTAGGTTAATTGCTTTAAATAACATTATTTCCCAGCTCTCTATCAAATAATCATAATGTCATTCTCAACAGTTGGCAGCCTTCAACCCTCTGTTGCGTGTGTTAGACGGAAGCACCTGTGGAGGCACTATGCTCTCAGAGCTCTCTCGAAATTCCAGCATTCCTCTAAACGGCATCGTCTCCAATAGCAATACGATGATGGTGGTGTACACAGAGACAACTTTCGGAACGGGGTTGACAAATATTGATGCCTCTTTTTCAGAGGGTAAGTGTATTTTAATTCACCTACATTGTGTAGACCGTTTACTATTTTGTTTACGTCATTTTCACCTGTCACATTTTTCAATTCAAAAAAATCTATTTGTTTGAACGATAAACATTGATCGTACTGCTCACATTATCTGTGTTCGTTTTCGGCCAATGTGCCATATAAATCGGTCGATGGAATGTTTCATTTCAAACGTAGTGACTCATTCCATGACACTTTGCTTTTATAAATCTTTGAAGATTCAATGTGCAATGCTCAAATTCAGTGGTTAATTAGGTATGTAATATGAGAAGCTTAACATATCAGACTGAGAGTTTGGATAGATGTTCCAGATAGAAAACGAGAAAGAACTTTAAATGATGACCAGAATTTGACAATAAATTTGCCAGTGAAATGTTTGTCTATCTGCTCGTACGCCCTTGGCTCCTTGCGACTTAGAATTATATTGACTAGTTTTTCCAGCAAAATATTGCGTGTACTTGCATGTTCCGTTTTCTTGACGTTCGTGTACGTCATGTTTGTTATTTAATGCGCTATAATGCAGCCTTCGCAATTTCAACACTAACTGCGGCTAACATACTGGCTGAGAAACTGATATCGTAGGGGTCGCCGGGTAGGTATAGGGAGAAAAACTTTTGTAGATCATCCAATCAGCTGCATTTTTATCCAGTCGTTTATTTGGACACTTAATGTTCATGTTGCAGGGGGAAGTTAACAGCTTATACCATGCGGGAATATAGATGAATAACATCCGTTTATCGACGATTAGCTCACCAAGCAAATGGTGATGGCATCCACCTAAAACTCTTGGCACAATCAGTCCCTGTGCGTAAAGCAAATGGATCAGCCCTTAGAGGTATTTGGACCGTAAACTGTGTAATCTCACCTCTGTCATAGCTGTCACGTCTGAACTACATATTTTACACGCGACTGTATGCATAGAGCGAGATGTTTAAGAGGTGGAAATAAATGTGTCTAAGAGATAGGAAACATTCTGTAGGAGCCCAATGTTTTGACGCCATTTTTGACTACTTTTAGGATTGGAGGTAACATCTGAGTTTCTCATGAACATACAGCCAGCGATTCTTTTCACGAGTACAATGCTGTAGATGGTTGTTGCTCAGATTACAAGTAAACGCCAAGTAGCGTCGTAAATTCAGCACCCAACATTTACGTATGTGGAGCTGAAGACAATTCTGGACATAAAATGCGCAATCCACAAATCCACAATCCCAATCCCATAGTCTCATTAATGTTGCACGCAATTATCTGTCACTTTGGTAGATTGTCAAATTTCAGTATCGCCAGCGTAAACTAAATAGTTTTTGAAACAAGGCTTAATCATCGGATTCAAATTGGATGGAGTCGGACACGGATTCACGCAATATTATCTCAGGAGGCCTGTTAAAGATCAGTTTTGTAATCCACCTCAGTAGGAAATCATTAATAAGGTGCCTCAAAAGCATGGCGAGAGGAACGCAGTGGTCCAACCTGTCGCATAGCTTGAAGAATTCGCCATAGATAATAGGAACTCCCACAATAATATTTGCTGCCGTTGTCCACTTATCTCGTGTTAGGAGTAGTTTGGTATTGTACCATCGACCAAGGTAGAATGCTGGTTGTTCCTGTGTGAGGTACCCAACTTCGTACGAGATGAGTGCCCCATATGAGGATGTGTATGCATCGAAGGAAACAGCGCTTTTATGAATCTAAGCGGCTGGTAGCTTTATATGATGTCATATGAATGCAACTGCTGATGTCAATGCTTGATTTGTCCTATAGCCATTAAAATGTTTCGTGACAATTGAAGGGACTAGTGATCAACTAGTTCCACGAAGCTCTGGCCAAACAGCTACTGCCGAATCTGTTTTATGCATAAAACCAGAGTAAGCTTATATCTTTTAGTGGATGATTAACAAAATTCTCTTAAGCTGAGACACGCGCTGCCAGGATACAGATCATTATTATTCATGCTGATTCTTTTCGCACCAAAATGGGTCCAAGCAACTTGTCACTCCCATTAGTGTCCAAACTGGATTTGCGTCCGACGTTATAAGTCAGGCACAACAGCAAGGTGTCTGCGCAAGGAGACTCACGGCGCCCGCTGAATACTTTATGGAATCTGATGCCTTATTCAAAAGCCTTAGCCCCTTTTACTAATGCGTTGAGGTGCGTGGCTATCTCTGAAATACGTTGATTAATCACCAATAAAATGAAGGCAATCCGGTTAAAGTAAGTAAGTATTTATGGCTTGAAGTTCCCGACAAGACTTCACATGCATCTGCTCATTGGGTTCCTTTGTATGTCAGACTACAAAAATAATGAATTGTAAATATAACACTTCTTCACACAATAAGTGACAAAACGATAGTTTGTACCTGAGGCACAATTAGACCAGAAGTTTCGGTACTTCTGCCAGATTATTTTTACGCTTACGACATGTTTTCCAATGTAAGCTAACCTTTAAACGCATGTGGAGCCACTTCTGCAGAGTCAGCTTATATCATACATTCCACATAATGTGAAAAAGCATCGCAGTGGCCCCTAGGTAACTTAAAGCTTATTTTGCGGTAATCTTACAGGCCATATCAAGATGAGGGCAAATTTGGCCGATTTCTCTCTACAATCTCTACCTACCAGTAGCCGGAACCAACGTCGAATATGCTAAAACAATATGGGCTAACCAACTTGTCGACCATAACACCGTTTATGGAACGGCGCATAACGTACTCTTGGTTCTGTCGCTTGAGATGTCTATAGTCCACATACAACCGTCAAGTATCATCCTCCTTCACGGGATTAATATTTAATGTCCATGAGTAGGTTGGGAGTTGGAATGTATATTTCTCAGGCGAATGATCGAGCAACAATATTTTTCCTTCTCTGCTGTTAGATTGTAATCAATCTAGTTAAACATCTCACCGGTTTAACATCGCCGAAAGCGATGGCATGCTTTACGGCATCAGTGAAGCCACATCCCGGGTTCCTCATACGAAAGTGTCGGAACGCTTCTGTAAAGTGCCTTCAAAACATTTCGGGATACACTGGTCACTGTTTGACCAAAATCAAACCATCAGCATTTATGGCCACACACGTGGCCACACCGATGGAGTATTCCTCAATCGTTATCCGTTGGTGGCAGTTCAACGTAATATTGCGGGGTTTACTGATCAACCGAGAATACTTCAAACATAACTGAGATAAAGCGTTGAACATTAATACCAATCTCTCGAATTTGTGTAAAACTGAGCACAAATAGAACAGGGTCTAATGTATTAAATATTTTTCATGCTCTTCCATTATCTTAATATATGTGAATTACTGCAGGGATTCAGTGGTATAGCTCATGGGTATAAAACGATGGATATTACCGGTGCAGCTTTTGATTCCTATATAAGATAACTTTTTTTCATAAGGACGACCGACGTCTGAAATGTTCATGCTACGTTCATTGCGTTCGGGGATATTATCCATGGTATGTTATGTGGAACGAATGATGGAAGAAAACGGAAAAACTGCAGGTTGTGTGTATTTCTCATATCGATACGTCAGCATCGAACTGTTAGTTAATGCTTAGTAAAAAATAGCTACAACAACTTTCGATCATTTTCTAAGGATTTTGAGACCAGCATCGCCATGACTGTGCATTAGTCTCTCCCTAAGTTTGTGCGGTTTGTCTGTGGAAGTCTCACATGAAGAAAATAATGCAATTAGATGCGCAACTACTTAGAAGGATGGCAATTACCGGGAAAGCGATGAAGTTGTGAACATGGGTACACGTGGGTATATATGCTGTGATTAATATTAATAAGAGGATTGTACAGATAGAAATCGTCTCTGCTTTTTGACGTATATTGGAAAATTCATGCGAGATTTTCACTTCACAAATTAAGAAAGGGTGAATATATAATATTTTAGCAGGATACACTGAATTCTATTATTCTCAACAGCTGTTTACATACATACCGTGAAAAAATCTCGTATCATCTAAAATGGAAGCAATGTATAAGGTCATTCACTTCAATCGGGCATTGCTCTGCAAGTTAAATATTTAAAGGAATCACAAAGAAGTTGGCACGTAGTGAAGTCCAGGATTTGTTGCGCGTTGGAGCAAGCGTGCTGCTTGGGAGCGTTAAAGACCATGTTTCCTAAAATTGGCTCTGAAATACTAGTGAACAGACACTTCATATTTCGGTCAAGGTACTTGTTACCACAAGAAAAGTGGAGGAGAAAAACCAGGATGCGGTACCTTGAGAATGTGGCTTGTCCATGTGCTATAACACCTATTTGGCCGCATAATAACATTTATCTACTGCCTGGCGGCTGCGGTGCCCAAATATTCCATCATTTTGTTACCTCTTAAACGACAGTGTAATTAACCCATGAAAAGTTCTCACTCGGCCAAACCGGTGTTGTCGCACTAAGTTAATAAATTGTTCTGTAGCTCCTAAATAGACAAGCCACAATCTCAATTTACGGCCACTTTTTTATCTCTTCTAATATACTTGTGGGATGAAGCATATCGGACGTACTGAGAGAAGTCTTTCCACTAAGATTTCAGAGCAACTTCCATCAAACGTGTGCGCTAACGGTCCCCAACGGCTGGCCATTTCCATTGCGCTATATATCCTGGCACTACGTTCCCGCTTCCTCCTGATTCGTTTAAAGTAATTAACTTTCAGGAATAGACCCGATTGCTTCAATTTGCCGAGGCTTCAGATTTTTGGCGGCCAAATCACAATTTATGCAAGCAAGCTGTATTTACGACTAGTCTCGTCTTGGTAACGTTGTTGATCGTTTTCCCTTGAACCAAATGACCTTGTAAATTGCGTCCCTTTTGCACACAACGCAGCGTATCCTATTAAACAATTTTTTATTATTGCTGTTGTGACATCCAAAATCCTCACTACTACTCAGCAGTATCCAAATAATAATTGCAAATGGACAGATGCTTGCATATATTTAACACGTGGCACATCGTCTCACGCTAACGGAAG